ACACACACATACACACACACACAGTATATATAGGTACACCTTTCAGCAAGGCTATAATCATCATAATTATATAAATATGCATTTTTGTTGCTGTGTTTTTGTTATTTCTGTTTCTGTAGGTGTGCAGCCAAGATGTCGGGTGTGTTGTCTTGTGGTTTCTTTATATACAGTATATTACACATATCTTCTAATCTCTCTTTCATTATTTTCTATTACATTTCACTATTCTCTTACTTTTTCTTCTTTAAAGAAAAAAAAAGAAAAAAAAAGCGAAGTCACACAGATATGACCACAAGGCCACTCACTCTGAGATGAACAACACGAGCTGCAGGGTTTCTGACAGAAGGACCAGCAGAAACATAGTCTGTGCTTTCCACTTTAATGGGGAAAAGTTGGTCACATTTTTCATCAGTGTCCAAGGCTGAGGGCCACTTTGTACAGAAAGCTGAAAGCCAAAAGATATTTTCATATTATTATTTTTAAAACAATGATTTTTCAAACCACAGTAAGATTACTTTGGTAAACACCAGAAAGTACTGAACTGCTTACGTTTCAGAGCTTCGCAGTGTTTCTCGATGGCTGGTGGGGTCAAATGCAGAAAGTTTGGTATCTGAAACAAAATGAAGAGATCATATAAATGTTCTGACTTGATTTAAGGAATAAATACTCTTTTAAAAAAGTCAGATAATACAAAAGCTTTTGAATTCCATCAAAACTAGCATCAGCAAAAAACAATAAATGAAGTTAATATAATATTGAAGGTAGCATCACACCAGATGAAAATGCTATAAAAAGACATTTTTTGTTTGCTCAGGTCTATTACAGGGTTATTGAACTAAATTGCTTTAATAAGATTCTAAATGGTTTTCCATCCGTCCGTTTTCCTCCTCTTATCTGGGGTCAGGTCTCGGGGGCAGCAGCCTAACCAGAGAGACCCAGACCTCCCTCTCTCCAGCCACTTGGACCAGCTCCTCTGGAGGATTCCAAGGTGTTCCCAGACCAGCTGAGAAACATAGTCCCTCCAGCGTGTCCTGGGTCTTCCTCTGGGTCTCCTCTCAGTGGGACATGTCCAGAACACCTCACCAGGGAGGAGTCCAGGAGACATCATCCTAACCAGATGAACCATCTCAACTGGCTCCTGTCGACGACGAGGAGCAGCGGCTCTACTCTGAGTCCCTCCTGGATGACTGAGCTTCTCAGCCTATCTCTGAGGGAGAGCCCAGATACCCTGCAGAGGAAACTCATTTCATCTGCTTATATCTGTGATCTCTTTCTGTCGGTCACTACCCAAAGTTCATGACCATAGATGAGGGTAGGAACATAGACCGACTGGTAAACTGAGAGGTTTTCCTTTTATTAAAAAAATAATATGGACAATTTTAATAACTCTTGTCTTTTAATTAGAACGAACTGCAAAAATCTTTGCTGGATTTTACAACTTTAGAAAAAGACATACGATATGCATAAAAGTCTCCAACCTGGTGGGTTTTTATTATTGATTTAAAGAATTTTATCAAAATATAAACCTCCTCTTACTGAAAGCATCACTGCTCATACAGACGGTGCTCCTCTATAAATATAAATTTGTACTATCTAAATTCACTTTTAAAGTTTTTATTTCTAAAACTGTTTATTTGTTCTTGAACACTTGTATAGTTACAAGTCCACACAGCTCCCAGATGTATTTCCAGCTGGCTTAAGAGGACTCCAGCACCATAAGGATATTAAAATTTAAATAATCTAAACATTCATATTTCAGTGTGGGAACAGCAGGACACAAATGATATATTCATTAAGACTATGAAAATGACCTGATTTATACAGTTGAAAATAAATGTGGAATAATTTTCCAGCTTTATGATTTCATTAAATCACTCTCTGATCTAACATATGGCTCACTCCAACACATCTCTTTAATCTGACCTTCTGCCCTCTCACATATTTCTATCAGATGCACATATTCTACTGTATAATGGATTAACAGCTGGAGAATTAAAAAAAAACTTGAATACAGCACACATTTGACATGATGGCAAATGGAGTTGAGATCTGCTGCATTAAATGTTCTCCAGCACATTTTAACAATTTTTACTCATCTCAGGATTTTACGGTCAAATATTAACCTGTGAAAACTGTCTGATCACTTTCTAAAATAACATCAACATGATGTAATCTCACTTTAACATCACTAAATGAGCAGCATTATAAAGAAACAAAAATATTTATCAGGTACATTGACATCATTTTGAAACAAGATAAATTTGAACATTACTGGTTCTAAGGTCCAATCTTTACTTCTTCGTTTTAACAAGTTAACATCAAAAATTGTTATTTTAGCTGAGGCAACAAACTTGTTCTCATCTACACATTCATTTTAACACAGGCCCTGTCACACTAACATTTTAGACAACTTAGGAAACGTTTTTATGTTTAAATTACTAACAAAAGTTATATATTTGATCAATTTGTTAGCATTACACTATGTACAAACCTAAAAAAAAGCTTCCAGTTGATTTTTCTAATTCTATCTTTAACATAGATGTTTTTAAAAATTTCATAGGTTGTTAAACACAGGGAATCTTAACGTTTTTGACCTCGGGGCCCAATTTATTGAACATAAAGTGACACGAGGCCCAGTCAGACATTACTAATGTATGGATCAAAATGATAATTATTATAAATCTTGGTTTAATTTTTTTTTTTTTGTGCGATGAACTACAGGAAGCAGTTTAGCTTCTCAAGGCAGGCCGAGAGGATGAAATCAATATTGTCAGAGCCGCCCGGCAGAGTTCCAGCTGTGACGGGTGTAAGCAGTGGATCTGCAAGTGGCTGGAGTCCAGATGGAGCAGCTGGTGTTTGGACAGAGCCGCTCAGTAATCCGCCCACAGACACACAGCCATGAGAGCCGTGCAGCAGAGCACAATGAGCTCCATCAGGACTGCAGCAGCAGCGCTAACCCGCTGCAATTAACTCAGCTGCTCAGAGTGTCAGGCTGCAAAGATTTCCATTTATCAGATGGAGTCTGCATTTAGACTGTCTTAATGTTAAAAAACAACTCATTTCTATGCAATCGTTTTGTTCAACCCACTGAATTAAAGCGGAGTCTGAACTTCAGCAGCATCTGAAATGCTTCGTACAAAATTCATTGTGGTAATGTACAGAACCAAACCTTTATCAGCTCCAAGTTGCCCTCCTTTCTTGGAGGAATCCCTCTGTTCACAGGCAGGCCCATCCTCACAGGAAGAGGGACAGCGTTTCCCTTGAAGGGCGCTGCTGCTGGATAAACCGCCGTCCAGTCCTGATCCACGGACATCTTTTCTGTCCTGGGCTCCCCTGACTAATGCAACACATACAAAGGATAATAATTACGAAACATGAGTAGTATTGATTCCGTAAAAAAGGCACATATTTTTAGCAAGAAAAAAAAACATTAAAGATGAAAAGCTCACTTTTCTTGGAGGTTTTTTATCCGAGGATCCTCTGCCTTTTCCATCTGGAACACCTAAAATACACAGTTTTTTGTTGTATGTATAGTTTTATTTTATACAAAATGCAATAAAAAGTCTGTTCAGGACAAAAGCCGAACAGACATTTCCGCCTTTTAGTCCAACATTATGTGCACTAGTAATAGTTTCTACTTTTTAAAATTCAATTCAGTTTATTTATATAGCACCAAGTAACAACAACTTTTGTCTCAGGGTACTGTACATAGGCCTGTCGCGAGCAGTGGAGAGGAGAAACTCCCTGCTAATCAGGAAGAAACCTCCAGCAGAACCAGGCTCAGGACAGGAGACCATCTGCCTCGACCGGCTGGGTTTGGGACAGGAAAGAGACACAGACAAACACAAGGCTGGTCCAGGTGTAATTTACACTTTTCTCTTTTGTATTTCATGACTAAACCTGTTTTCCACATCTTAATTTAGTTCCTCTGTGCATTATAACTTAGAATCCCACCCAGGTGGGCAGGAGGACAGCTGTCTTCTCAGTCCATCTCAGACCCCTAGTGGCAACTCTTAACCACTTAAGAGACGTCTGGAGTGTTCTTATATATCTGGGAGGGGATTCTGGAGTTTACACTTAAAGGGATCCACAATTAGTTGTAACATTAGACTTTATTTAATAAACATTTATTTTAACTGTAAAATAAAGACTGTAAAAATCCT